GACTCACTTGGTAGTCCAGGCTGGCCTCAAACTCACAGAGATCCTCCTGGCTCTGCCTCCCGAGTGCTAGCATTAGAGGCGTGCGCCACCACCGCCCGGCAACAATCTTTTATCTAGTGTCTCATAGACACTCAAGGCAAGCCTGCCAGAGACTGAAAACCACCCAGGAATTTTATCCACTGGAACTCATATCCACAGTAGGGAGCAGCCTGGGGAGCCCTCAGGCTGCAGGACTCACAATTTCCTCTCGGATGGAGTAGTCAGCCGTCTCTAGGTAGCTCAGCATCTCAGCCACAATCTGCTGGGCGTTGCTGCGGTCACACATGGCGTAGAGCAGGTCCACTGCCCGCTGCCGCACACTCACGTCTCGTTCCGTCTGGGAAACAAGGCAGAGTCAGAGCTACTCCTGCAAATCACAGGTTGGCGGACAGTGCCTATCCACTGCTGTAGGTCAGTCCATGAGCTAGCATCTATTTATTCCATAGGCGCTATCTTGGGGCACCCTACAGCACTGTGCCCATCAGGCAGGGTGCTCCCCTATCTCCAAGTCCCTTACTGGGCCCCCTAACTATCAATATATGGGACACTTGGAACCCACACACAACTCACTGCCTGCCCCCTCATACTTAGATCAGTCAGGATAATCCAGTTCCAGCCCTGTCTGTTCACTCTCCCTCCTCCCTGACCAGCTCTTCTGAGGATTACACTCAGGCCGAGTGAGCAGGTGGTCACTAAGGCCTCTCCATTGTGTGGGCACAGACCAGCACCTTCCGTGTTGCCCGGGAGCTGGTTCCGAGGCAGGTTCTTGGGCCTCTCTCCAGGTGGCATGGGAAAGAGATTCCAGAAACCCTACCACACACAATGCTTGAGAAGCATGGTGCAGGTATCTATAGGCCCCTGCAGTGGTAGAGAACAGTACAGGATGACCCAGGGCAGGGCAGAGGGACCTAACAAGGGTTAGAGAAGCTTGAGATGAGAGCTTTGTGATCAAAGGGAATGAAGAGAACAGACATCAATCAGGACTGGGAAGAATGCAACCTCATATTCAAGACAGGCACCAAATGCCTACTGAGTTATACAAACACAGACCAGGGCCAGACCTGCTTCACTGCAGCTGAAGACTCACCAAGATGAAGAAGGGTCTGCATCCACAGTTCCCTAATGAACTATCCTAACAAGCGGGTACAGTGGACAGTGTGTGCCGTTCCAGAGAAGCAGAGAAGACACCAGCAATGTCACTCACACTCAGAAGCAGGTATGAGAACAGGTAACCTCAGCTAGGCTCTTTAAATTCTGGAATTCTAATCCTTAAAAAAAAAATCTAAAATCCTTGACAAGGAATTTTGCTTTGTAAAAGGTGAAGCTTCCTAGAGATAAGAACAAAATATTTCATCTTTTGACCAAAAGAAAACTACTTATGTTTACTGAACTATACTATCTTGGACTTAAGGCAGGTGTCACATGAATCCATCCCATGGGACAGGACTGTCACAACAGAGACAAACTCAAGTAAAGGTACTTGGCTAGAACTCTGTTCTCAGGTGCTGTGTCCATGGGAATAGCAGGACTTCACTGCAGGAAGATAGACAGCTTTCTCCCCCAATTGCTCCATCCACCCCACATGTCAGCAAGAGACAGGCAAACACCCTAGGGTCCAAACTAAACAGGTTGAAGGAACTCATCTATGCCTACAGGAGGCACCTCCTAATCTTCTGGCATCCACATAAAGCAGCCATACATGACCAGCAAGGAGCACACCTTCAAGGCATTGATGACAGTCTCGATGTGGGTCTTCACAGCCTCATGAGAGAACTCAGAGCTGGCCAGTGTGCACATGCTCTCCAGAGCCAGGTAGCGCAGGTTCGTCTCCCGGTGCTGCAGGAATTGGCCCAGCTGGTTGCAGGCACGGACGAGCAAGTTTGGCTCACTGCAAGGAACAGGGGACATGATAAGGAGGGACACAGTAAGGAGGAGATGCAGTGGAGAGGGGCACAGTAAGAAGGAGATGCAGTGGGGAGGAGCACAGTAAGGAGGAGATGCAGTGGGGAGGCGGCACAATAAGGAGGAGATGCAGTGGGGAGGAGCACAGTAAGGAGGAGATGCAGTGGGGAGGGGCACAGTAAGGAGGAGATGCAGTGGGGAGG